TTTTTTTTTTTTTTTTTTTTTTTTTTTTTTTGTTTTTTGGAATGGGAGGTTTTTACTGTGCTGTTTTTGAGTGACTAATTAGCAGTGTTCGTTATAGAGGGATCTCATAGCATGGTAGTTTTTATTTATTGTGTAAACGGTACATAACTTTTGAACGTAAGTTTCTGAGATGTACTTCTTAATATTTATAATCTTTCAAAATTGGCACGGTAAGATTTAAAGGAATGTTGTCGATTCTGTTTCACTTCTTTTAAATGAGACTTCCGTTGAAGTTTTTTGAAAAGCCAAGTGTTTTGCTTATATCTTATTTGAATGTCTCGTTAGGAAATGCTGTCTTTTTTTTTCTGAAGTCTTTTATAAGAAGGCAATGCCCATTTTTTCGGTACTGCTGATCACATGTTTTTAGTCTTTACAGTACGGTTTAACACTTGTTTAACGGATGAAGGAAAGCTTTTCTACGAATCTCATTGTAGTTGGTGCTAGTTTCAACATGATATTCCTCAGTGTGTTTCGTAATTGACTTCTTTATGGGCTGGACTGATGTTTTTTTTAATGTAGATATTCTCAAATTTAACAGGTTTTTGATCGCTGTTTTCTTTTGAAGACGACAAAAGTTCATCATTATTGTTAGGATGCGTTAAATTTGATGCATATTTATGAAACTATTTTTTGAAATAAAATTCTAGGTTTATGGTGTACCGTACCCTTAGAAGTAGCTGTTTATATACGTTTCTTCTTGAAAGAGAGCAACTCTGTCAAAGCATTTGAACGATTTGCTTAAAACCATTCAATTTTTAAACCAGGGACCTAACTGAAGTAAATAAATTCTAATTGTTAATGAACTACTTATATAACTGGCGTTAGAAATAGGAACAGGTGTATGATTGTGTTATCTCTGTTTAATCTTTGTTTTATTAGGATAAGTCACATTTTAGTGTACTTTTTAGGGGATGGAAAATAAGGCATAAATGTGAGTTTCCTCACTGGTGTCGAAGAGGGAAGAAACTTTGGGTTACAGAAAGGTATCTCTGTATTAGGGGCTGGCGTTGTAAAAAAAAACGGGGTAATTTTTTAAAATTTTTCTAGTTTTTTAGATTGATCGGGTTTTTAGTTGTACCATTTGCTGAAACCATTTGCTAGAACGTTGTTTGAAAAATGTACTCTTTCAAAATTTTATTGTTTCAGTAAATTAGATTGACACATTTACTTTTTTTTACTTCTTATTTTCCTGCACTTAATTGTTCTAAATTAGTTATTTACTAAGAAATGGTTATATTTCAGTTCTCAAACGGCTTAATTTAGCTGGGGAATGTTCCGTAAAGCCACATGGAAATTAGTTCGAGGATTGTCAGCCACACTAACCATTTGTGTTGGCGGGGCTTCCATATACTTTCTTCATCGAAACGATTATGATTTCTCCTCAATTGGTCTTGTGCGGTTTGCAAGGGCTGGAATTGCGGTATCTTTAAGTTCTGCCGAAATCTGTTACCTAACATTCGTGTGATAGAACAATGAAGTCGCACATTATTTGGAAGTTGTTTGTAACCAGCTTCTGTTGCGACTTCTGATTTTAAATTTTTTGGGCTCATAGGGTGGAACTGATTGTTCTTTACTAGTCTCGCTCAATTACTCCTTTGATTTGGTGAAATCCTTTACCTTTATGGCATCTCTTTACAAACTGTGAATAATTCTAGATAACAAAGAGTCTGGAATTTTGAAATTGGTTATATTCTTATTGTTTACTTATCTATGATTGTTTCTTGCGTTTTGGAGTTTTTTTCCCTATTATTTGTATATAGGTGTCAAAAATCGTTGTGGACTACAAATGGACAATGTGGAAGTACAGAGGGGATGCTGAATCATACCAGATTGGAATGAAGGCTGCACATAAAAGAAGTGCAGTAAGACTACTGGAGTTGGCAAAGGCCAACGGAGGAGTTTTTATCAAAGTTGGTTCATTCTTGGTTTATATTTTACGGGTAATCTGAACCTAGTTTTTGTAAAAAGTTATGATAAATTTGTTTCTTTGAAGCTCTCTTGTTGGTCCATGCAGTGTTGGTGACCTTTTAGCAGTACTATCTATCGCACAGACGGTTTTGTTCCTTCTTAGATCTTTCCGAATTTTCTTTCTTCTTTAAATTTGGAAGCCTCAATGCCTTTTTTTTATGCGCAGAAATTTGTCTGGATTTTCTGGATTAGCTTTGAAAAACTGAGTCTGAAGAAATACTTAAGGCAAAAAAAAAAGAATCGCTTTACTTTATAGGAAATTGGAGAGTTTGCCAAACTTTTTAGTAGACTGTTTGTTAGCATTACTTCTGTGTTAAACATAGAATGGGAAAATAAATATATTTAATCTTTGAAACTTTGAGTTTTGTCTTTTTTTTTTTTTCTTTTTGCTTGCCTTCACTTCGCATTTTCACGTGTTTTACACAATCTCTTACTTGATTTCTTGTTGCAGCTATTCTTTTACGTAAATATTATCTTCTTTAGAACTTCTTCTGAGCAAATGGGTTGGTTACAGAGCCGATTGAGATTTATCCATTTCTACCGAACTTACCATAATATGTAACATTTTCATGAGATTTCTGTAGTGAGATCTTGCTAGAGTACAGTAGCTTTGCTATTTTGGAACTTTTAAAGGTCGGACAACATTTGGCTGCGTCTGAATATCTGCTGCCTGAAGAGTATATTAACGAATTAAGTATTCTGCATTCAAGAGCACCCGAGAGCAGTTTACAAGAAATTCAGAGGGTTTTCGAAGAAGAATTTAAAATGAAGGTAATTATTATTTATAAAGGAGCTTTTGAAATTTTGAAAAAAAAGTGCTGTTGTTTAGGTGCTCGAAAACTTTGAAGTAAAAACGATCTTTTCCTGATTTTAAAGTTTATCTTACGTTCCAGATCGAGGATGTTTTTTCCGAATTTAATACCCAACCAATTGGTGCAGCATCTTTAGCCCAGGTTTATAAGGCGAAACTAAAAAATACCAATGAGATAGTTGCTGTGAAAATCCAGCATCCTCGAGTCAAACCTCACAGCATGGTTGATATGGCATCAATGGAAGTGGGTTGTCCAATGTTTTTTTGAATTCTTAATAAAATTAGTTATGATTTTTTGAGTTTGATTTTTACTTACTGCTTATAATTAGGAGTTTTTCTGTTATATTTTTGCTCTTTCTCGTTAAGCGTTATTGCTGGACTGTTATTTGTTTTGATCGTCGGTGTGGGACTCATCTGTATGGATCTGCTTTCATTTTCGGATTAAAACATAAATTGGTCATGTTGAAAATGTTTTAACTCAAGATTTTATTAAAAATCACGCACCTTTTTAAGCAGAATGAGTGCCCAATGTGTTTTGATCATGATAATTTGATTCACGGAGAGCTGCACTGGACAGTTTAATAGCTACTGAAATGGTAGATCGAGAATTTATATTGCTTTACAGGTTTTGGTAAGAATTGTTGCCAAACTGTTTCCGGACTTTCATCTTTTTTGGCTTGTTGAGGAAGTGAAGCATCATTTGCCTTTAGAATTAGATTTCCTTAACGAAGCGACTAACGCTGATACAATACGCGAGATGTACTCAAATCTTAGTTTTTTAAAGGTATTTTTCTATTCAACTGGTGAAATAATATTTCGCATGCTGAGCAAATTTATCATTTTAGATTCCAAAAATTTATTATCGATACACCTCCGATCGTGTGTTAACAATGGAGTTTTGCGAAGGAGCTCAAATCAATGACGTTGATTACTTTATAAAGAACAACATTAACCGCTATGATGTAGGCTGCTTTCTTTTAAATCGTTATTGTGACGATTACCAGTTTTTTCATACTCTAAATTTAGTAAGTCAAGCATTGTGTCCTCAATGATTTGCATTTTTAGGCTTGTAGGAAGTTAGGAGTACTTTATAGTGAGATGATTTTTGTGAAGGGTGTGGTCCATTGTGATCCTCATCCGGGAAACGTGCTAATCCACAAAGAGCCTGACGGGAATTTCAAAATTATTCTTTTAGATCATGGACAATATTTAGTTAGTCTTTGATCGTTGTTGTTTTGTTTTTTCTTTTTTGAAGAAAAAAGTTGCTTTTCTTTTTCATATTTCATCTTTTTAACTCTAGTTAAAGGTTCTTTTTTACTCACCAGTTACGCTTTATTTGTTTCATACAGAATCTTCCGGATGACTTTCGCATAAAATATTCAAAGTTGTGGCTCGCCATACTTAAACCAGATCAGGACGCCATAAAGGTAGCAGATCTTTTTTTTTCTCTCTTCTTATAGAGCCTGTCTAATAGGTTTTAGACTTCCTAATGTTGCTTAAAAGGAGTTTTAGCAGTATGCGACAGAAATGGGCGTTGGAGATCTTTTTGGCCTTTTTGCTTGCATGGTGACAAGAAGGACGTGGAAAGCAGTTGTTAAAGGAGTGAATAGATCTACTCTTGGAGAGGATGAGGTGCAGTCATTATTATTCATTTTTTAGTGTTCTGAAAGTCACTTTTATTGCATTTTTTAAATTAGATTGATTATGCTTGAATTGTTTGCAGAGGACAGAAATCAAAGCCTACGCTGCTTCTCTGATAACTCAGATCTCAGACGTGCTTCAGAGGATGCCGCGTCCGCTGCTTATGATTCTAAAAACTAATGATCTTCTTAGAAGTATTGAGTATCGACTGGGGACGCATAATAGAGCCGACGCTTTCATTCAGGTTTGTCTTCTCATTCTTTCATGTATCTCTAGTATCTGATAGTTTATCGTCTTTTATCATCATACGTCTTAGGTATTTGTTCAGAGTCATAGCGTAGTATTTCGTTAAATTCAAAATTTGTTCCAATCTTGACTTTTTCAAAAAAAAAGTTTTTTTTAGTTTCCGCTTTCTTGCAACAATTTTAATTATGTTTTTGCCGGGTAACTCGGTGCTTCATTATTTCTCGCTTATTTTTTGAACGTCTTCGCATTAGTCGTTTTTCAGATGAGCCGTTGCTGTGTACGCTCTGTTTACGAGCAAGCGCTCAGAGAGCAGAAAAATTTAATTTCTCGTTTCTTTCTGCGGCTATATATGTATATAGTCCTTATAAAGATCTGTTTTTATGAAAAATTCCAGATGGTTATTCATCGTCATTATGCTGAACCCTTAGTCATCTGAGGTGTTTTAGAATTAAAATAAGAATTTTTCTTGTCAAATGTGTAATTGTTGTTAAGTCGAAAATTTGGGGCCTCGTAAGGTTTTGCTTTTAAGTATAGCTATAGCTAGTTATTCGCTAACCAGACCGAACTTCTTTTTACTACTCGCTGATCGAGATTTTTTTTTGCTCACTGTTCTGGGAGTATTGCCGTACTAGCTAATAAAAGCATTGATCTTCTAGGATATACTAAAATGCATGTCTAATTAAAAGATTTTTTTAGGACCGAATTGAGGTTATTTTGTTTTTTGTAAATTTTGAAAAACTGATTGTTTTTAGAAGCGTATACGTGTTTCTTGTTGTTCTGTTTTTTATAACCTTTGAAAAAGTGAGAGTGCCTTGACGAAGTGAAAAGTTTCTGCTGAAATATTTTGTAATGGTAAACTTTGGAAAATTGCTGAAAAAATTTTTAAGTTTAATTCAGTCTTTTCAGTTTATTTAATTTTTTAAATGATAGTAAAATACTTGAATGAATGAATCATTTGAAGTTTAGGCATTTTAGAGGTATAGCGTAGTGTTTAGACTTATGTTATGCAATCAGCTTCTCTGTGAATGAATAAACAGTGTTAGCATTTGTGAATAGTGTAATTGATTGTGTGTTTTGAGAAACATTATGCGGGTTTCTGTCGTAAAATCCTCAATAATTTCTTCTTTTGTTTCATTTCATTCTGTTTATATTATTCGTTGACAAATTCGTTTCATATAACGTTTAAAAAAATGCCTTTTACTTTTGCAATATCCACCGATTTGTTCTCGTTTATTGATTTGTAGACTTTATTGTGCAGAAGTCACATTTATTTTTTGTGTTTTTGATGAAATTTGTGGGTGCTAAAAGTGTTATTTAAAAAGAAAAAAATCTATGAATGCTGCAGTACAAATATTTCAGTACCACTTGTTATAACTCTAATAACATAGATTCTTATATACGCATAAGCAGAATCGAACTGATTCTATTCTAAATAAAATAAATAAAAGTTGAATCTTTTTTGAGAGATTTGTGATGTGCAATTATATATATGTACATCTGAACACAGAACATTTTCACTTTTTTTTTTTTTTTTTTTTTTTTTTTTACAATTTACAGGTTTTGGAAAAATGAATGTTTAGGTTTTTTGAACAATGCTTTTGAATGAGAGGAGATTACAGTGTTTGAATAAATTGAGTTGCGATGAGAAAGTGTGAAGAGTAAGTGGAACTTATTGTGGAATGTTATGTTCTACTGGAAAGTTGGAGCTCTGCGGAGGAACCAGTTCTGGTTACGAATAAAATTCGTGTTGCTTGTATGCATTGTGTGCATTTTGTGGTAGGTTTTAATCTTTGTGTTTTAGAAGGGAATTATGGATAAAAAAATTTTTTTTTTATTTGCTCTTACGAGCTTTTGATTGTTGCTGGGAAGGGAGAGGGTAGAAGAATTGACAAGAATTGTTCAGTTTAAATGACGAGTTAAGAATTTTTTTTAT